GGCCCCGTTCGTTAGACGAGGTGAGACGTGATGCACTGATTAGGGTTCTCTGTAACAAGACGACAACGTCGGTAAGGCCTTCCCTCCCCAAGCACCCCTTGTCGCAATGAAGTGGCAAAGCTAGTTTTTCTTCCGTTTCTCAGTTTTACTGAAGACACTACACAGCCTGCTCGTAAGAAGAGAGGAGATCTTGCTGGTAGCTGCAGCAGGTGTATCGCTAGCCCTATCACTACATTATACATATCACGGGCACTGTGAATCATTGAAAATCGGTAACATTGCCAGGTCACGAGTGATGGACTGGTGGAGGTACTATCGTAGTTCCCCTGACCAAGTAATTTATCTTCGGACTCTCACCATGCATGATAGTGGTAAATCATAGAAGTGCTGATACTACCGTGTGACTATAGGTTGCCAAGTAAACTCCAGCTAAGAAATGGTTGGTTAAAACACACCTTGGGAAATGGCGGTAAATACACGCCCGCCCACACAAGGAGAAGGAAGAAGGAGGGCTCTTACCTCCTCGGTTCCCCAAACGTTTAAATGTACTTAGTCTTTGAGATTCTCTGTGACTTGTGTGTCCTTGGTTGGTTGGTATATTCTATTTTACTTCTCCCAGAATGAATAGGCATTGCTGCCTTCTTGCCTGGACAAGTGGATTGTCCAAGTTCTCACAAAAGACGAAGAAAGGAAAGAAATATTACATGAGAGTGTGAAGCAGGCAATCTTATACTATAATATGTACCATCATCCTTCAATGCGACGGACCCCACGATAGGCGGTCAGCCTTTGGGTCATCCTAATAAAGTTATTATTATTATTATTATTATTATTATTATATAGAAATATTACATGAGAGTGTGACGCATGCATGATGAGAGAGAGAAGGGGGGGGGGAGGGGGGGGGCGAGAGAGAAAAAAGAGAGAGGAGATAGAGAGACTGCTTTATTGCCTGGAAAAATGAATTGTCCAAGCTCTCACAAAATGACCAACAGCAGCGGTAACAACAACAGCAACAACAACAACAACAACAACAACAACAACAACAACAACAACCATCTCTTATTGGCCACTGGCTATAGTGAGAATAAAGATTTGAAACAACAACAACAGCAGCAGCAGCAGCAGCCAGCAACAACAACAACAACAACAACAACAACAACAACAACAACAACAACAACAACAACAACAACAACAACAACAACAACAACAACGAGAGAGAAGAGAGAGAGAGAGAGAGAGAGAGAGAGAGAGAGAGAGAGAGAGAGAGAGAGAGAGAGAGAAGAGAGAGAGAGAGAGAGAGAGAGAGAGAGAGAGAGAGAGAGAGAGAGAGAGAGAGAGAGAGGGGAGAGAGAGAGAGAGAGAGAGAGAGAGAGAGAGAGAGAGAAAGAGAGAGAGAGAGAGAGAGAGAGAGAGAGAGAGAGAGAGAGAGAGAGAGAGAGAGAGAGAGAGAGAGAGAGAGAGAGAGAGAGAGAGAGAGAGAGAGAGAGAGAGAGAGAGAGAGAGAGAGAGAGAGAGAGAGAGAGAGAGAGAGAGAGAGAGAGAGAGAGAGAGAGAGAGAGAGGAGAGAGAGAGAGGGGAGAGAAGAGAGAGAGAGAGAGAGAGAGAGAGAGAGAGAGAGAGAGAGAGAGAGAGAGAGAGAGAGAGAGAGAGAGAGAGAGAGAGGGGGGGGGGGGAGAGAGGAGAGAGAGAAAGCATTTTTATCTCCAAGAAAGTTTTGTCAAGATTGAATCAAAAAGAGAAAGGATAAAATGTTTCGAGTTATGACTAACTGTCCACCAACGTAACCAGATCATATCCAGTCGACTAGTCCGCTTTTGTCCTTCTCCTTTTTACCATAATTAAATTGGCTCACCATCCGAGTTCAAATGACTTAATGCTTTGTTTAATGAAAATACGAGGAATCACATCGTACTTTGAGAGTTGTGGCCGGACTCAAGAGCTACCTTCTTATAAAGCCGAAGCCACTACATCATAGCTCGGAGTGACCGTGCTACCAGAAGTGACAACGTGGTGAATGGTCAACGACCTTCGGCACCCATGATGTCCCATCCCCTGATTCGGCTTCAGGCTGATTTCTTCGTTCGCATGCCGATAATTATGTTCGGAGCTATAAGTAGTCTCCGGCGTCACTTTCTCTTCAAAGATGGGAAGGCAAGGCTTGAACGGCATAGGCTTTCTTCGGCAACTACATGTAATTACTTGCAGATTCTGGGTCGACGTCTGAGTAGACCGATCTACCCGTGCTCACAGTGGTTCAAGTGGCGGCAAGCTGTCTGTATGCTGTGCATTATCGTCCGGAGACCATAGGTCCATAGCTGAGCACGTGGCCTGGCCGTGGCTGTACAATCATGTACATGACTGACTGAGTCTGTATCCTCATTTGTACATCTACATCGTACATCTACATCGTACATGCATGTACTTGAAAAAAGGAGGAGCGGAGTGGTGTACACGTGGTGATGCTGTGCTACTGCTAGGACTACATGTATGTAGGATCCTAGGAGTAGGATGCCATGCTTGACAGCCGGTCAGTGAGGCACTGTGGTGGTTGTCAAATAAAAGGACCTGTCACCCGACGGCATCAGCTCTCTTGGAAAATATAGGAGGAGCAGGAACAGCGAAGCGCACGTGACAGTCTGTGCTGCTCCGCGATCCGTGAAATCCGATAGCGCGAATCAAGTTTGCGCTTTGTGCCAGTTCACGTCCCAGTGTTCGCAGGTGTAGGGCCGCGAAGC